CCAGCCAGCCGCAGCTACTCCCAGGGCTCACCCGCACCTCCCCCTTCTCCCCTGCAGCCCGGGCCAGCTGCCTCCTTACCAGACTGGCTAGAACTGAGCTGGCCCCTCCCTGCCAGGCCCGACAGTCATCAGAGGAGACGCCCTGAGGAGGGTGCTCTCCATCAAGAGGCCCACGCACACTCCATCCTTGCTCAGTGTGTGGATCCGCCTCGCCCTCCTGAGATCCTCAAACAGGCGCTGTGCTCGCCTGGTCTGCTCCGCAGATGAGGAAACGGAGGCCCAGGTCACATTGCTCGTGAGCAGTGGTGCATTTAAACCAACTCCCGAGCCCAGGTCTTCAGTGGCACCATGGAGCAATTACCCCACACTGGTCAGTGGTGGAGGAACCACAGTCCTCTCCTCCATGTACACTGTCCCTGGCCTTTAGTGGCAAGCGATGTCCATTACCAGGACCTGCTATGGCCCAGGGCTGTGCTCAGCCCAGCAGGCCTGGCTTCACTTGCTGCGTCCACGAGCTTTTCAGGCAGTGGCCGGTGCTCAGTGTCCCTGTTCCACAGGAAAAAGCCCAAGGTCCCATGGGCTAAGTAATGGTCACCTTCAGTCCTATGAAAAGAGCTAATGACCTTCATGGAAGATAGCAGCTGAGGTTCTTCTGATTGTGCTTCTGACGCAGTGTGGAGGCAACGGGAAACAGCTACTCTAGCCCTCTGGCCAGTGTGTGCCAAATGTGACCGTGACAGTGAATTCCTTGGAGGTCTTGTTAGAATGCAGCTTCTGATTCAGCAGGGCAAGGGGTAGGGGGAGACCACACCTTTCTAAGGCACCTCTAGGGGTGCTGCCAGGAGCCTGGTCTGTGGGCCACACTTGGGCCCCTAAGACTTTAAGCCTCAGGGGAGCGGACAAGGCTCCCCAGGCAGGTGGGCTTGGCAAAGCATGATCACGCGTGCAGAGAAAGGTTCTTCCACTTGCGTGCCATGCTTTGTGAACTTGCTTTGTTGGTTTGCTTGGTAAGATGTTCTGTTTTCCAATTCCATCCAACCTTCGGTCGCATGTGCTGTCAACTTACAAAGGGGTTTCTATGAATGGTCAGAAGGCAGAGCTGGCACAGGGCAGAGTGGGTGTGTGAAATCTGGGGAATGTCCGCACAAAGCGTTTCTGGCTTGGCCATTAGCAGAATGAGGTTTTAACTTGGCAGTAGATTGATCATCCTCACTGCTGATCCCTGGAAACAATATTTACATTATATTGGTGGTGACTGTCACCCTATGAAGAGGGGTCTCAACGTCATGGGTATTTAAAGGGCAAACTGCTGTCACTAAAAGGTCTTAGTGGATGAGGGTGAGCTACATAACAAGAATGATCAGTTCTTGTTAACGTTATGCTCAGCTTATGTGATCTGGACACCCTCTCCCTCTCTCTCTCTCATACACACGCACACACAGTTGTGATCACCTGGTATAATAACCCTCTCATGGGCCATCAAAAGATTTTTCAATCAGCTGAAACACACACAAACACCCCCACCTCTGCAGTGGCAAAATTACCTGGGATGATGTCTGTTCCATCTAAGAATTTAGTATTTATGTCCATGGCGGGTGTGTGTCGGGGGGGGTGGGGTGGGGTTGGAAGGTGGGTAACTGAGTGTGGAGCCCTGGACTGTCTAGGTCCACTGCAGATATTCTGAATCATCGCTGTACTAAGTTTGAAGCTTTGGAGAATGCAGAAGAAAATCTAAGCTTTGTTAACCTTGAAGCTACAATGGCTGAGGTGAAATGGAGATGGCTAAGGAGATGGTCCAGGTGGTCCGGTGAGCTCTCAGTTGGCAACACCTTGCATGGAGGGAGCATGGAGACTTGATGAGCTCCCAAGTGAACTAGACATGGGGGTGGGAAGCACAGGCCCTGCCCTCAAGGAACTCACCATCCTGCACTGAGCCAGACCTAAGATTGGTGAGACTAGCTGCAGCTTGGTGATGGGTGGGTGTTACTCAGAGGATTGCAGGAGTGAATGGAGTGACAGTTGCACTGAATTTCATTCCAAAGAGATGTCCAATGAAAGGATATCTATTCTGCCTCAAGGAAAAGTCCAGGGCCAGCAAAAGTCATGTGATGCTCTGTTGGAAGCAACTTCTTTGCCTATGTCCCCATTTTACAGTTTCAGAAACCGAAGCCCAGAGAGCAGCTAGCTTGAATAGCCCTGGGGCAGGTCCACAGCAGGATCTGTCTGATCAGATCTTGAAAGATGCATAGGACTTTGCTTAGTGTGTACACGGTTATCCAGACTCCAGTAAAGTCCTCAGGAGTGGGAGAAGATAAATCTGTACAAAGGGAACAGAGTGTGCAAAAGCCCAGAGGTAATTTCAAGAAATGATGGGCAGATTTGGTTTTGCCAAAGCCAAAGCCGCTTAGGGATGGGGCATGGGCTGGAAGCTAGATCTCTTGATTTCTAATTTGGGTGCTTGCTCTCTGCAGTGGAGTAGACACCTTGATTTTATATTATTTTCAAAGCCCCAAGCTCCTCTTTTCCTGGAGGGAGCTCATTGGATTCAGTTTAATCCCTTCCTTCCCAAACCCTAATTCCTCTTCCTGCCTTGTTTCTCTAAGCAAGACAGAATCCTTGTTGTCTTTTCTCTGACCAGTGATGTCCTCAATTTCCCATTCCTGGCATTTGATTTATGTGACACTAATATGTATTCTACAAGCAGAGAAATGAGCAAAAATATCAAGAAAAAGGTATCGTGGGAACCAAATTACAGTGGCCAAGCCATTCATTGGTATTAACACCATATCCTAATTATGTTTTCCTGAGCAACAACACAGAACTCATAATGATTGTGAAAATTCAAAGGAAGTTTATCATTCCCCAAGCACCACTCTGATGAGGTATCCTCCTTGAAGAGGGCGCCCTCCCTCGTGTTTCTGAGGTGATGAGTAGCAAGAGCATTAAAAGGTTGGGAGAGCAAATGTCTGCAGGCACCCTGCTATTCTGCCTTGACACAGACTCTTGGGCACACGGACTCTTTGCCCTTGTTACAAAAGAACCGAGAAATGGACTTCCTTCTTGGTTGGATTACATTTTTCACAGCAGTTTGCTAAATGCATTGGCAAGTGTAGCTCTTTTCCCAGGGGCAGAGGCCTGCTGGTGATTTGAGAACATTATGGCTTTATAGGATGCAGCAAAAATTTTCATTTGCCTGGAAGATTCTTGCAAGATTTGCCTTGCAAGGTTCATTAGAAATACACTGAACACGTACATGCAGGGCCCATGGGTAGCTGTCCATGGTACTGAGCATCCTTTTGGGATGCCTAAAAGCCTCATCACAGCAGACCAACAAACCTCTCCAAGTGCCAGGCACTTTACCTCTATTGTTTTTTGTTTTTGCTTTTTGTTTTGTTTTGTTTTGTTTGTTTGTTTTGGTGAAGGTGTTAGGAAGCTTGCATTGTACCTGGATCTTTGACGTCATTCACGTGGAAAATTTTGTGGACTGTTGTTAGTTCTGGCCATTTTTGTTTTCAGACTTAGAAGGGGAATTTCATCGAGGCTGTACTTTATGCTGTCAGATGCTGCATTCTGACCATTCTCTCTGAGGGGAGCCTCAGGTGATCTTGGAAAGGTACATTGGATAGATGCACCGTATGTGGCTCCTTTTTTGTTGTGCCTGGAGGCCACCCCCTTCCTTTGATATATGCCTGGCACCTCTGAACTTTATAGTTTAAATGGCCCCTCAAGAATTCTGCTGTAGAGGACCAAGGAGAAGATAGGTAAAAAATGTTGTCTTGTATCCAGATGGGAAGGGGTATTGTTTTGCTTTTCTCTTTTGAGCAAAATCCAAGGCTACGAGAACTATGTAGAAACCAAGCAGACTTTTTTTGTCTCATCCCAGCTTTCTCACTTACTGGCTGTGCTGACTTTGGCCAGCCACTTACTGACTCCAGGCCTTATTGACTCATCTGTAAAATGGGCACAATTCCAGACTTTAAAGCACTGTGACCATCAAATAAGATAAAATCTAGGAAGTCCACAGCACAGTGTCTGTTAGGGAATAGCTGTGCTCATCTCCCCCATCTTTACTTAGGGCGATAACTCTTCATTTCACTTTGGGTAGCACCCAGTGCAAACTACTGAAATTTTCAACAGCCAGCAGGAGCCTTTGGTGATGCCTAAAAATAGCTGGTTTGAATTCTCCTTGGACAGTTAGGTGCTTTGTGTAATTCAATCTCTTTCTGATTATAGGTGGCCGTTAACAGCTCCCAGCTCACTGCCTTTCCTCCTCACCAGCATCTTTAATGCAGTAAAGCTTGGCCTAATTACCCAGGGGGTGGTGGCCTCTTTCAAGCCAAGGAGAACTCTTCTACGCCTGCCTTTAAGCTGATGTCTGGTGACATTTACCTCATTTTGTGAAGCCCCAGAACAAAGAGATGATAGGACGTCTGGGCTGTTCTTCATCTGCCCCCAGCAAAGAGAGTTGATGAACAGTTGCTCGGCTTGCCTCTTGCTAGTAAAAACCCCAAGCTGCTGAGGTCAAGCAACAGCCCAACTGGCCTGGCAATGAAGAGCTGACACTGTCAGAATGTGAGGTGTGGGCTTTTGTAATCCTTGGC